GGCAGTGGGGCCCTGACCCAGGCAGTGGTATTGGGGCTCCCGGGGAAGTGGCAGCAGAGGTCAGGGGTGTGGGCCTCTGTGCGGTTGGATGACTCTGCTTCCTGCAGAGAGAGTGAACAGGTTTGCAGGGAGGGCGCTTGGGAGAGCAGGAAGCAGATGTTCTGTGGGCGATGGGGGTGGGAGCAGGGGTGTGCGTCTGGCTGGTGGCTGAAAAGGGCAGGGAGCCCTCTGGCCTGCATTTCTACCTCAGGGAAGGAGGGTGCCCCAGCCAAGCAGACAGCACTGTGTCTGGCAGATCTTGCAGTGATGGGATCACAGGGCCCCTTGGAGGGACATGGCTCAGAAAAGCCCTGTCAAGGGAAGACCTTGAGATGGCACTGTTCCACCCTTACCCAGGAGACCCTCGGGGATTAGAAATTCAATAAAGAAAATCTGCAAACCAGCTACACCCCAGTGTGCCAGGTAGGGGAGGGCTTTCCCCTGACACCTGGTATAAAAGTACACAGTCCCCTCAGATCCTGGACTGGACCCCAGGGCAGGTCCTTTCCCGTGACCCGAATGTGCTTCCTGTTCATGGAGCAGCCGGCAAAGCTGCTGAGATCATGCCCAGCCCTGGGCTGCGGAGCTGGTCTCCTGACCCTCCCCACGACCTCAGTGGAGGCAGTGGCTTTGGTGAAACCTGCACCACAGAGACAAATGTGATTCACTGAGTGACATAATCATGTCACATCTAAATTTTTAAATTTTTCCTTTGAGACAGGGTCTCAGAAGGTTGCTCACAGCCTCTCTAAGTGGCCGAGGCTGCTATGAACCTACAATCCCCTGTTTCAGCCTCCTGAGCCACTGGGATTACAGGCATGTGCCACCACACCTGGCAGGAGCATCCTCTAAAATACTTCTGTACTCCAAGTCAAGGAAGGAACTGGCTAAATAGCTCCATACTGTCATCCCTAGATGTTTAACAGGATTGTAATGAGAATGTTTGCATTTTTCCTCCCTGAGGCACACAAACAATTGTGTTAATTCCTTTCTTTATATAGACATAGAACATACTCTCAGGAAAAAAAAAATAGTCTTTGTCAAAATTGGGCAAAGTTACCTAAGAGCCCAGGCATAACAAATGCTGAAGTCCAGTGAATGACTAGAGCAAGGGACCCTTGGATAAGGGGTAGTTTCAGATGGAATGACTTCTGTATTTTGTAGTAGGGTACATTGTTTTCTTTTCCAAAGACGTAACTCCTAGGGGGAGAACAGTTATTCTCATGTACTTGGTGATGTCTCTGGAGTGTGTGTTTGCAGTTAGCCGTCTTGGCCAGGAGAGGCATTTTAACTCTGGGTCTCTGCTGCTGGCTCCCCTGAGCTCCCCGGACCTTGCACTGCACTAGAAGGCACAGCCCCACATCCAAGGTGGTGCATAGCTATATTCCCAGCATCTCAGGAGGCTGAGGCAGGAGGATCACAAGCTCAAGACAGGCTCAGCATCTCAGCAACACCCTGTCACAGGGCTTGGGAAGAGCCAACTTCTCCATGCTGGTGGGGACTCCCCTCTCTTGGGAATATCAGGAAATGGGGAGGAGCAGGGGGAGGGGGGAGGGCTGGCAGAGAGACTAGAATGTGTCTAGGCAGGAGGAGGAGGGAGGTGTCAAGGCTGACAGGATGGCCTCGTGCAGACTGAGAAGGCTCTGCAGTGGCAGGCAGCTCAGGGGCTAAGGGTGGTCTTTGTGAAGAGGGTGGGAGAAGCAGCGGGCTGGACAGTGACCTGGAGACACTGGGGCAGGTCCTCATGTCATCTTATAAGCTGGCCTCCCAGACGCACCTGCTCCTCTGTCCTGTCCCAGAGACGGGATTCTAGCAGACCTCACGTAGGTCTGTCCAAAATCACACCCAGAGGGACAGGAAGCTGAGTGACTGACTTTCATCTACAAGCTTTTATCAGACTGCATGAGTTTGCAGCAGCTGCCAGTCCCACCGTGCAGCCAGGGGACGTGACAGCACTCACAATTGTGGGGGCCTGAGTTCGACAGCCAGTGTAGTCAGGGCTGCTGCCCACTGAGGCCTTTCTGAGCTTGCAGATGGCCTCCCTCCCCGTGTCCTCAAAGTGATACTTCTGGGAGTCTGTGGTCTGATTTCCTCTGCTGTAAGGACACTGTGCACATCTGATTAGGGCCATCTACATGGTCTCATTGAACTTAGTAATCCCTGCCAAGACCCTGTCTCCAAATAGGGGCACATTCTGAGCTACTTGGGTTAGGACTTCAAAATAAGGATCCTGGGAGAGGTCATGTGGTCCCAGCCCTGTGAAGACAACTTAGTCTAAATCCACCTAGTGAGGCCATTTTGATCTATACCAATCCCGTGGGACCTTTAATCAACACCAGTCCCGTGAGGACACTTTAATGAGGCTTTACTGGATTTGTATTGATTAATCTACACCAATCCTACGAGGACACTTTAACCTATCCCAATCCAGGGAGGCCACGTTACTCCACCCCAGTCCCCTGCAGCCTTTCTGATCAGCAGCATCCCTGTGAGGACCGTCCTATCCACCACGGGAGCTCCTTCACCAGGCAAAGGGGCCTTCCACCCTGTATCTGTTGGTTGAGTTCTTCTGCTCTAAGTTCTCAGGATAACCCCCAAATATGTCTACTACTGTGTGACAATTAAGAATAAAAACATGCCAGGCGTGGTGGCGCACCTCTGTGATCCCAGTGGCTTGAGAGGCTGAGGCAGGAGGATCGCAAGTTCAAAGGCAGCCTCAGCAGAAGCGAGGTGTTTAGCAACTCAGTGAGACCCTGTCTCTAAATAAAATCAAAATAGGGCTGGGAAGTGGCTCAGGGGTCGAGTGTCCCAGAGTTCAATCCCTGCTTACCTCCCTCCAAAAAAATAAAATAAAACTTTCATAAAATAAATTAAAAAACACTTAGATGTTAAGAAAAAGAGTGACTTACAGGGGAGACTCCTCCAAGGATTGGAATGAAAATCCCAGATGGAGCAGTAGCTCACTGCTGCTGCCCTCTGAAAGCTCAGCGTCTCGGTCCTGGGCTTGGCAAGCTCCTCAGCAGCTTCCCAGGAGGTCCTGAGTGAAGCAGCCAGGCTGGGCCCGGCCTCGCTGGCTGCTGGCTGGGGACGGTGCTGTCCCTGGCCAGGCCTGGCTGTGCAGCCCCTCTGTCAGCTGGGGTTCCTGGTCTGTAGGGAGGGCTGGTCGGAAAGTCCAGTTCTGCTGAGGGGACTGGGCAGTGGCAGAGCGCTCTGTCACCGACGTCCTCCCCTTGCAGCTCTCTTTGGCACCCTGTTCGAGAGGAACAAGGAAGCGGCTTTCGCCGGTTACTGCATGTGGGAGGCCCTCGGCTTCGTCGCCGCCTTCGGCTACAGCTCCTTTCTCTGTGTCAGTGTCAAGCTCTACATCCTGCTGGGCGTCCTGGCGGTGGCCATGGTCTCCTACGGGACTGTTGAGTACCTGGAATCCAGGAGCCCGGTCAAGACCCTCACGGCCACACAGACCAGCCAAGCAGTGGAGGAAGAGACGGGGACGGCGATGTGACAGCAGTGGGCCATGGTGAGGGACTTCCACCACCCGAGTTCCAAAGGGGTGCGACGAGCCGGCTGAACGCAGGGAGGCAGCCTCCTGAGCCCACAGAGGGGTCTCCACATTCACATGGCAGATTCAGGACTTGCTTCCTGTCCGATGCTGATCTCCCAGAGGCTCGCACACCATCAGGAACCGGGGCCGCCCTGAACAGGGCCATGCACACACCTCGACGTCCTGTAAACAGGTGCTGGACTGCATTGCACCTCAGTGCAAGGGGTTCTGACCTCCGCCTGGATAGAAAGGTGCAGCTCTGGGAGTGGGCGTCACCCGATGGGTTGAATCACACGCCCTGTGGGTTGTCAGCCTAGCCTTTGCCCTTTTGTGGATAGAATGTTCCATGCGTTAGCCCCCCCCCCCCCATTAATAAAACCCGGGTTTGAGGCAGGCTCCCTCTGTCTTGCCTCCTTGGTGGGAGCTGGGTCAGAGAGGCCATCACTGAACCCAAAGAAAGAGGTATTTCTCTGTCATTGCGTCCTGCCAGCCCAGTTCACCTGCAGGACCCTGACTGTTTAGTCATGTGTTGTGACAATCAGGGAAGTGACTGGGCGTGCTGCAGACCAGCGGAATCATCCAGAATGCCTCCAACTGGGCAGGGACAGAGGACCTTGCCATGCCTGAGCTGGGCACACAGGTGTCTGTCACTACTTCCTGGGTGCACTGTCCCTTACGTGTCTCCTCCTTGCCGCGGGCAATGCTGTCCACACTCTCTCCACACTGTCCTTCTTGGTCCCAGTGGTTCTGTGTCCTTTCACCTCTGCCCAGGCCCCTCTCCCTGCCCCCTTGAATTTGTGCCCAGGCTCCAGGTGCCCTCTGTGCAGACGGCTCACCACGCCATCACACACTGTTGGCAGGAGCGTCTCCTCCAGTGGAACTCGGCCTCCCAGCGTGTAGCGTGCCCTCCAGCAGCTGCCACGCCGTGGCAAGTGGAGAGAAGGCCATCCCAAGAGCCCTGGTGCGTTCCAGCCACGGGCTCCCTGCATCCATGGTCCCCTCCCCAGTGCTCCCTGAGCCCCGTGACAGACGGTGGTCTCTGTCTGCAGATGAAACAAGGGCAGATGCTGGGGTGGACCTTCCTTCTCCAGCCAGCACTGGCCAAGAGGGCACAGGCAAATAAATACACCCAGCACTGCCACACGGGACGTTCCTGGCCCCTGGAGTGTCACTTTGCCCCAAGCTGAGCTTGGCATCTCCCCCCCTACAGAATTCCCCGTGTCCCTCGTGTCCAGGATGCAGTGCCCTTCCTGCTGTCTCCAGGCTCAGCCTGGCTGTGCCATGTGCAGTGAGCTGTGGTTCCGCTCTCCTCCGGCCCGTGGGGTCGCCTCGTGCTCCCCGCTCCCTGCAGGGCCCCTCTGCTCACTTCCTGCCCGCCTGCCCTCTCACTGGTCTTACACCTACCATTTTTCCTGCAACCTGGGCTACTAAACAAGAGGATTGTGCTACAGCCCAAGCCCACGGAGGGCTCTCCTGTCCACTGCTCACCGTCTGGACTCCTGCCCAGGAAGCACCGGCCAAACCTCATCCTCAGAATTTCTCTTAGACATTTCTTCCTTCCCTCCCAGCACCTTTGCCCTCCCCTTTCAGCCATCCGTTGCAGGCCCCCCCACGCACCATTATCTGTAAGGTCCCTGACTGACCATGGCTCCTACACATGGAGCTTGGGTCACTGCAAAGAGCCAAATCTGGCAGCCCTGACTTGTTTAATCCTCGCCTAAGGGAGGCTCGAGGAGCCCACAGACACGTCTGATGCTCTGGGCGGCCTGTCGTGAGCTGGAGTGAGCCACATGCGTGGGTGGACGTGGCCTGGAGGATGAAGCCGAGAGGGGACAGTCCTGCTGCTGGAGGCCACCCCCTACTCTCCCTGAGCCTAGGGTGGTGCTGGAAAGTGCTGCCTCCCACACACTTCACTCAATGACCCCGGGTGGACCTTGGAAAATCAGGAGGAGATATGCAGAGAGGCCCAGTCTCCAACAGCAGACACAGAGACCCATGTCCCCAGTCACAGGAGCAGGCCAGTGTCTCCAACCTGCCTTGCCAGGTGTTCCCGAGACAGAGGTGCTGTAACAGGTCTCCCTTAAGGTTGCAGAACACCAGAGGTCTGGTGAGACCCCCAGCTCCCCATCCTGTGTTGCAGCTACTGACATGGTCGGGAAAAGTGTCACTGTTTTGGTGGAAGCCAGGCCACCTTGGAGCCACTGACTCCAGGCATGTGCCACTGGCCACCTGCAGCCACATCTGTGGGGAGCTGGTGGCTGGCCACACAGGGGCTGTGGACCCTGCTCCTGTCTACTGGACACTGATCACCCTCTGTGGGCTCCGGCTCTCCTGTCTGGGGCACCGGGACCTGCCTGCTGGCTTCACCCTTAGTAACCTTGTGTTCAGATGTGTGTGTGGCCGTGCCGAGCACCCTGGTGAGAGCCTGGAGGAGGGACGCTCACCAGCCCCAGCGGTGGAGGATGGGTGTGGGGTCCCAGGCCACCCAGGGCTGCCTGCCCAGCAGAGCCCAGGGAGGGCTGAACTCCGATGGACTTTCAAGGTAACCATTTAATCTTGCTCGGGGTTTCCCTGTAAAGTGGGACTCTCCCTATGCCGTCAGGAGTGACGGAAGCTGTGTGTACTGCAAAGCACCATGAAACACTAGGCCACGGAGCAGCCAGAAAAGCCATCTCCTAGATCCCCTGGAGCGAGGTCAGAGTGCAGCACATCGGGCTCGAGTTGTACGCAGTGGTAAAGCACTGGACTAGCACACGTGAGGTTCGAACCCCAGCACCACTTAAAAAATAGATGAAATAAGGTATTGTGTCCATCTACACCTTAAAATATTTTTTTTAAAAATGCAATACATTTTTGTGAACCCCTCAAGCCATGAAGTTCTTACAAGCTTTGATTGGGTTTGGGGTATCCACTGTAAATCTTCATGGCCCAAGTCCCAGGGCTCAGCAACAAATACATACCATTGGTACTTGCTCAAAGTAATTAATGAAGGCAAGATGTACAAAAATATTCTGTGTCACAATATATTAAACATTTTCCAAAAACTGAAGATGTATCTAAAAGAAAATAAATCTGGAAAAAACAAAGTTAAGGGCACATAAGAAAGGAAAAGTCACGTGTTGACCATCTGGGCCATGGCTTTGGCTAGTCTGTGGTCACTGCCATGTGCTGAGGTTGGCTCAAGGTCACCTGCCTCCAAGGCCAAGACAGAAGCCTGGGTCATATGAGAGCCATTATTTGACAAAAGGCTGCATACCAGCATTTTAAAAGAAATTGATGTTCAGGTACTATCCTGTGATGGGACCTAGCCCCGAAAGATCAACAGAGCATCCCTGTCCCGGAAGGATGGCTTTGTTTGTTTCTATGGCAGTGTGATGAAAACTCAGGGCCCTCACAGGATGCCACTGTGAGCAAGACCAGCAAGGCCAGCTCACCAGGCCTGGGCGGAGCTTATCGGGGGCTGGCCCTGGTCATTTCCTGCTGCCTCCCCAGGAGACTGGAGCCTTCTTCTCCTGGGCCTCCACTTCCAGGCTTCATAAAGCCACTTAACCTGTGTCATTTACACAGTGAGGTAAAGTGCTCCCAATAGTTTACTGTAGTGACAGAGATGCTGGCAAAATAATGCAAAATAAAAATTAGAGAAGGCAGAGGCATCCCACAAGTTCTACAGTCTCATGTCCAACTCAAGAACAAGAGATTCGTTTCTTCCACATCCATTTCCAGGCCTGAGTCAAAATGACTCTCATGGTGGGGCCCTGACTCCAGCCACTCCAGAACATTCTCTCTTAGAGCCCTGAGCAGCTTCTCCCAGGCCTGGTGCAGACCACACAGAACTCCTGAATCGGGGGCTGGGGGCGGCACTGAAAAACCAGCCTCTATCTCAGAGCAAAGCCTGTCCAAGGAAGGGACATGGCCTTTGTCCTTGGAAAAACCCACAGAGCACTCCTAGGCACATTCCCACCCTGCTAAGTTGTTTATCTACAAATAACAGAAGAGATCTGCTGTGTCACGTGTCCCTGACTCAGTCAGGCTAGGAGGGACCCATAGCAGCCCCCTAGCAGCCACCAATCAGTGTGAGACAGGGAAATACCTGGGATGCCAGATGACCCCCCAGTAGTTTATGGTGGTTGATAACATTTTGGGAAACCATGTAGTTCAGCACGTACACCCCTCGTGGCCTAAACTAATCAGTTCAAATGAATCCCCCTCTTGTACTGACCAATCACCCCTACCCAACTTGTTCCCGCCAGTGAATGTGCTAATCATGTTTTAGAGTTGTTATTTGATTTTCCTGCGGTGTGTGATGATTTGCTATGATGTATGTGAGGTCCCTGCCTTCTCCAAAGAATGTATAAAACTGCTGCAAACCCTGGGCTCGGGGTCTCTCAGCTTCACCAGTTGCTGTGTGTGTGCGCGGAGGACCGAGCTAGCTCGCATTAAACACCAGTTTGCTGCTTATATCGATCTTGGGTCTCTGGTGGTCTTTGGGGGTCCCAAATTCGAGCATAACAGCACCTCTCCTCTTGGACTTCCTTCCCCTGGGTTTAGACCCTGGAAGGGGCAGGGAATCCAGAAAGCTGCGTGTCTGCTGGAAGGTGAGCCTGAAAGGCGGCCAGTCAAGGGGCCAACCCACCCTAGGCCCTGAGGCCCTGGAGGACTCCACCCTGTCAGGTCCTGAGAGCCCAGACCCATTATGGGTGCCCCCTGGTGGGCAGGGAGTGAACCACGGTTAACAGAAGTCTCTCAGAGAACCCTGACCTGCTGGTCCCACCCGGTGGGTTGGGTTAGTTTTGTTTTGTGTGTGGGTGTTTTAGAACTGGGATAGAACCCCGGTGCACTGAACCACTGAGCTCCGTCCCAGCCATTTTTACTTATTTATAGTTTAAATCATGAGTCGGGGTCTCACCAAGTTGCCTTGGGCCTTGCTAAATTGCCTATGCAATCGCACAATGGCCTAGGACCAGATTGAGGGCAGAAATGCAGCTGTCTGCTCTGAGGTCCTGAGGTCGTGTTGGCAGAGCTGGTGACCCACCTCTGAGTCCCATCCCATTTTTTATACTTTGACTAGAGCTTTAGAGAATCCCAAGGACCTGCTTGGATCTGTTCTTCCCAAAGCATCCACCCAGCTGCCCACTGGTTGAGCCCTTGAAGTCTCCCTGTTCTCAGGTGTGTGCCCTCCCCACCAGCTGGATCGTGACATGCTGAGGGACCCTGAGCAGCCTCATAAGTCTTCCGCCTGCCTGCAGAGGTGGCTTGGCTGGACGTCAGGTGCTCAGAGGGCCTGCCTCCCAGCGGTAGGCCAGGGCCGTAGGGAGCACACCTGACTCCCTTGGCCTCCCCTCCAACCCCCGCTGCC